ATTATCTCTACACTCTGACTGTGTAATATATTCTATCTCTCTCTCTCTCTCTCTCTCTCTCTCTCTCTCTCTCTCTCTCTCTCTTTCTTTCTCTTTTCGTTTCTCTGACTTACGCCATTGAGAGACACAAATAAACAAATGTCCTAGAAAACTATTACGCTCTGTACGATTATTTTCAAACGATATATATTACCTAGTATACTATAAAAGTTGTGTAAAAAGTTAACTTCTCTCGTTCCTACCCACGCATCTGCTTTGGGCTTTATACGATAGGCAAGTTATCAGTCATCCTGTAAAACGCGTTATCGTACTTCCCATACGAGGCTTGAACTTCCTTCTTTCTTTCTTTCTTTCTTTCTTTCTTTTTTCTTCTTTTCTTTTTTTCTTTCTCATTTTCCTCTTCTTCTTCTTGTTCTTCTTCTCTCTCTTCCTTTATATCTCAATTTCTCTTTCCAACTATCTCTCTCTCTCTCTCTCTCTCTCTCTCTCTCTCTCTCTCTCTCTCTCTCTGTTTCTCAGTTGGCAAACGTTGTTACGCAGAGATATATAAAGTCATTGTTATTCTTACAGGCTCGGCCGGATCATTCGGAGATAAAGGCAAGGACAATATCACGGAATATAACGAAAAGAAGTGAACGAAAAGTGTTGGAATAGAAAAATATTATGGTCGATTAAGATAGTCGTTTAAAAACAACAACATCGAATGATAATTATCAATCCTTTCCAACGTAATACTCTGTTATTATTATAATAACAAAGTTTCGCTGCGTAATAATCTTGAAAGTTCGAAATCGTGTCTATATATAAAGATACGTGTATACCACTCCCATTTCTTTTTATCTCTTAAGATAAACGACATGGCGTATTTACACCATGAACATTTAATATATCCTTCTCTTCTTTTCCTTCCTTCACGTCGTAATATCTCTTAAATTTCAAATCATTATTCGCAATTTAGAAATTTGAATAATAATACCTTATCAATGTTCTTTTTTATTTCTATATCTCACTGTGAGAAAGCAGAAAAAGAAGAAGAAGAAGAAGAAGAAGAAGAAGAAGAAGAAGAAGAAGAAGAAGAAAAAGAAAAAGAAAGACAAAAAGAAAAAGAAAATGAAAAAGAAAATTTGAAAGGGTAAAAATACGTATCGAACGTATAAAATGATTGATAATTTTTAAATCGATCAAGATCACGTTATTATTGTTTTACTACTTATGTGGATTGACAAAAAAAAAGAAAAAAGAAAAAGAAAAAGAAAAAGAATAGAAAGAAAAAAAGAAAGAAAGAAAGAGGATAAGAGGGACAACAACGTAAGCTCGCGCGATTCTACTACTCGTTATCGTCTTACACACGCACGTGTGCGCGTGTAGTACGAGACGTAGTACTACGTATCCCGTCTCTCTGCCTTCCCCACCCTTCTTCGACCCTTCCCGTCCTACCAGCGTCATTGCTCTCTCTGTGGTGAGCGGTTTGGCCAGTTTCTCTCTGCGGCTCCACATCCCCTCTCTCTCTCTCTCTCTCTCTCTCTCTCTCTCTCTCTCTCTCTCTCTTTCTCTTTATACTCCCAGTTTTCTCCTCTCACTCTTCCTGCAGCGTCACAGTCACGTTCGACTTGTTTTATCGCGGTCACGTGACGCTCGTTCCTGACGTCACGCGGTCACTAACCATATTATGTCCACGGCACTGACCTTACCCCTCCGTTCTCCTCCAACCATTCGTTTTTAAAAGCTTTTCGATCGTACGTATATAGGTATTCATGTAAGTACGTACATACGTACGTACACCATGACGCGACATACATACCTAGTTACATACACATACATACGTACGCACGATTACACTCGTCTATTCTGAATTACGATTGCTATTACTAACGTTCACGCTTTACAACCGTTAGAGTTCGATCTAATTAGTAATTACATGTTAACGTTGTCACTGATTAAACTCACAATGTAGTTACATGTTCGATAAGAGACTCGTTTATCGGAATCGTTTCAGAGAGAGTTATATATATATATATATATATATATATATATATATATATATATATATATGTCAGTTTGTATATTATATTATTATATTTTCTTATTAGACATATGTATAAATAATATTAAATTTATTCACACTGATTTGTATACATTTGTTTCTTTATTTTTTTTCTTTGTTCTTTTTTTTTTTCTTAATCGAATATTTTCATCATACATTTAACGAGTGATATTGAAACGAGATTATATTTAGTTAGAAAAAAATTCATTCATATAGTATCGATTCGAAATTAATATAAATCGGTAAAAAAAAATAAAAAGGAAAAAATATTCATCGTTTTTCTAAATTTAATTCCTTCTTAATCGTGCGATTTCATTCGGATTATCTTTTATAATATTACTATTAATAATCTCATGACGAGCGTAACATATCATTATGTATCTTGATATTAGATTGAGATTAGTAGTTATTTAAGGCAAGAAAGAATTAGAGATTAAATCTGAAATCTTTTAAATTGACAATAACACACACACACACACACACACATACACGCATACACAAAAAAGACAAAAAAGAAAAAAAAACATTATCGAAAATTTTAGGATAAATAAATAATATCACTTTCGATTAAGCGTAATTGAAAAAGGACTTTTATAAAATAGAAAGTTGACTCGAATCTCATGGTTTCATTCTGAATTCTCCCATTAATCGCAATGAACTTTTCATAGAAGGGTTAAAAAGAAGAAGAAGAAGACGAAGAAGAAGAAAAAGAAGAAGATGGGGTAGATCTTTGCGAAGAGGCTTTAAGTAAAGTTCGTTTTCTACCAAAGCTCAGTCTCAAAGGCGAACTCGTAAGAAAGGATTAAAGTGTCATTAGTATCATTAAATTGTATTTAATGTTGGTTAGAGCGATCCAAAGGAGCAAAGTAATCTCTTACGATCGAGAACACGATCCCTCTTTGCTTCTTCAATTCCTAACGTTTATTCCGTCGTTAAGAGAAAATAATTAAGGGAAACCCTTGACCATCAACGAGTAATAGATATTTTTCTCTCTCTCTCTCACTCTCTCTCTCTCTTTCTGTTTTTTTTTGTTTATTCTTTCTTTCTCCTTATCTCTTTGTCTTTCTTTTTACTACCCTCATTTATGTATTGCATTATTATCGATCTCCCCAACTTACCCACTAACATAAGAAAATAATAAACCAGAAAAGGGCAAGAATTAAGGAATCGATGAGATATATATACCTATAGGAAAAGGGTCGTAAAAATGTAAGAGCCAAAGTGGTAGGCGCAGCCATTGATTTTACTCCCATAAATCGTACGTACGATCGGTATCGACTGAACGAGACCAGTAAATGAATTTATGCGACTTATTCACAATTGATAAACGTTCGTGTTGTCCTTTATATACGACCTTTATATTCGTTTCTTCAATAATCGACGTTATTTACAAACGAATAGTGATTTTTGAACGCAAATGTTTGTTCTTATGCTTGTTTCGCGAACAAAACACATTAATTGTTGATTTAACGGATTTAACCTGACATATACCATAAGTAATGTTTGACCTAAAGAAAAAGAAAAACAAAAAAAAAAAAGAAAAAATAAATAAAAAAAAAAAATCAAAGGAGAAACAATGCAAGCTAATATCTAAAAAAAAAAAGAAAAAAAAACAAAAGGAAAAATATCTCTCCGTTTATTTATTCGAGAATCGCAAAACTCTTCGTTCTGTTAGCCCAACGAAGAAGATTTTCTACTATCGTCTTATATTCTTGATCGCAATATACCGACAAACCCGTTTTCCAATAAAATAGTAAAAGACCAACGTTGTGGAAGGGAGAAGGTAAAAGGACAGCAACAACAACAACGAGGACGAAGAAGACGAAGACGACGAAGACGAAGACGACGAGGACGATGTCGACGAAGAGGATGGAAAAGGAGGAACGAAGAGTTTTATACGAGCATAACCTTACGCATACATATACATATCTATACACATGCATGCGCACATATACATACGTACAGATGTATGTGAAGAAAGAGAGAGAAAGAAAGAGAGAGAGAGAGAGAGAGAGATCGACGTGTAATAAAGAAAAAAAGCGGAGGTTGAACGCAAAACGGTTAAAAAGAGACGCTCTCGTGGTGAGTCAGAAGCAGCAACAAAAAGGAAGAAAAATAGAAAGAAGAAAAAAAGAAGAGAGAAAGAAAGAAAGAAGGAAAAAAAAAAGAAGGAAAAAAAGAAAAGAGAACGAAGCAAGCAAGGCAGGAATAACGGACGCGAGTGGGATAGAGAGAGGCAGTGCACGACACACGTGGTCGAACACGTGTCCACAAGAGCCACGAACCACTCTGCGAGAGTTTGCTTCGACTTTATTTCTACCTTGCGCGCCGCCGATTCCCGTATTCGATTAAGTACTACGGTGTATCTTCGTTATCGTAAAAGCCTCGAAATACGAGCCCGAGAGTGGGTGTTTTGCTTGAAAAATTGCCCCGAACCTTTCGTGATACAACAAAACTCCTCTCGTTTTTTCGTTTTTATTTCTTTCCTTTCTTTTTCTTCTTTATTTTTTTTTTTTTTTTTTAATTGTACGTTGAAAAATTTACGAAAGAAACAAAAATACGAAATTAAATTTTTTAATGATTTCAAAAATTTTTTAAATATAATACCGATCATCGTAAGTTATTTTAAATACTTTATTCATGGTAATATAACTATAATATATATATTAATTATATTATTAATATGTTAATTATATAGTAATTTTTTATTCGATATTTTATAAAAATTATTAATTAATTAAGATAACCAAGTGAATAGATTAACAAATAATACTATAAAATACAAAAAAAAGAGAGAGAGAGAGAGAGAGTTAGTGAAGGAACGAAGAACAAAAAAAAAATATAAATATAAAAAACGCAAAGATTTCAATCGCATATAAAATCAAAAGGATAAATCAAAATAATTTGAAGGCAAACGAGAAAATATAAAAAGAAATACAAGTAGCAGAAAATGAATAATTAATTGATATATGTAGATATATTAGTATAGGGAGAGGAAAACATTGAAAATAATTCACGCGGTAAAGGGTTAATACCAGTGGCACGTTGAATTAACATTAGCAAACACAGATATCACGATTACATTCGTCGCGACCGTGCGACACACCCTGCGCTACGGATCTTACCGTAATATGTTAGCCGCAATGAATGGAGTAATCGTGTCAGCGGAGAAACGAGAGCTCGAACGCTGTACAACCCTCGTTTGAACTTCCAGCCAAGCGGCAAGATCACCACGGTATTCAATACAATGTCGGTGAGAGAATACGCTCGAATAAATTTACGAAAATATTTCCTTTTCGCCATTTCATATTTAAAATAAAACCACAACCAACGTAACTGTTATTCCAAATGAATATTGTTGAAAAAGGAAAATTTAGCTACCTATATGTATGTAAGTATATAAGCATATACACGCAAACATACATTCATACATACATATATACATACATATATAGATACATACATACATACATACGTGTTTATTACATGTAGATAAAGTAAAATACTTTTGTACGAAGGATGATAGATCAATTAAATTAAATTTAAATTCAATGAGAGATAGATGATCGTTTGTGTGACCGCAGAGACGACGACGAGTAACAAGCCGAAGACAATAAGCTTCGGTAGACGATATCCTCCGATATTCCGATTCTCTCATCTAAAACCGGAATAGAGACGTTAAGGTACGTACACAGGTGTGCCGGAAACAAGATGGGTAAACCGCAGTAGTAGTACGGTAGTAGTAGGGCCGAGGAGGAATAGAAGGAGAAGGAAGAGGAGGAGGAGGAGCCACAGGACTTGGTAACGTGTGAGCAAGAAAGAGATAGAGAGAGAGAAACGTTCAGATATATAGATAGAGATAGAATCTGATAGTAGATATGTATATACGTAGGAAGCAATAGTATCCTGAATCAAGAGACAGAGACCAATCAGTGAATTTCTACCGATCCGTTCCACACAACTGAAAATCCAGCATGATTATAACGCATGGGATGTGTGAGAGAGGAGAAATCATCTTTCCCTCACCCTCTTTCTCACCCTCTCACTCTCTCTCTCTCTATACGTATGAGCAACATATATTCATGTATAGCTTGCCAGTTGCAAGAACGCGAAGCTGTAGAACGCTTATAGGTAACTCGGTCCGGTAATTGCCGGTACGTCCAGAGATCCAGATGCTCCCCAATCAGTGATTCTCCTCTTCCTCCGGATCCTCCTCTTCGGGTATTCCTCCTCCTCTTCCTCTTCCACCATCTCTTCGTCAAACTTGAGCTCGTGTGAGTGCGGAGATCCGTGACCGTGTTGAGAACGGCCGGTTAGCTCCTGACCATACGCATGGCAGCACCGTTTAATTGGCACTGGACACAATGGATTATGGAATGGTGGTCTACCCTTCTGACACTCCTCCCCCGCGCGCACTTCATGTCAAAACCATTGCGCTCTCGTTTTACGTACGAAAGTACCGTAGAATCGAGCGATCCTATCCCCGTCTCTCTTACGTTCTCTTATTCTTTCTCTCCGTCGCACTTTCAGTTACGTATCTAATCGTTCCAAAATTTTCTTCCATTTAATCGAGTATCTGGAACAGATACAACGATAACATTCTCAAATTTACGAATATAGAATGTTACGTCTATTAATGCGTACATCAAAGATGTACTTCATTTTTGTGCAATTTCATCGATTATCTAAAATACAGAGACAATTATTCTCAAATTCACGAAATATATGATTAATCAAATTTATGTTAATATAACAAAGTTATATTATATTAAAATCATGTAATTTTAATAATAATATTAATTTCTTTCTTTTTTTTTTTTTTTTTTTTTTTAATAATAATATTATTAACGTATAGTATATAAATAAAATAAAATTACGTTGTTATCTTATAAAGATTCGGAGAATCCTTGTGTGATTATTGATCATCCTCACTTTGATTCATATTGGACCAATAAACTATGAAAGAAATTAAAATAGGTATCGTGCACAGGGAAACGTAATTATTGAAGTAATATTCCGAACTTTATGACGGCACCTCCCCCCTCCTCCAATCCCCCTCTCTCTTTCTCTCCCTCTCTCTCTCTCCCTCTCTCTCTCTCTCTCTCTCTCTCTCTCTCTCTCTCTCTCTCTCTCTCGATAACCACATCGCGCATCGCGATAACGATAGTAATGACAGTAATAAAAGTAGCGACCTCACCTTTTTGCCGAGTGCGCCGCACCGTTCCGCATCGTTCCACACCGTTCGACTTCTAACTCGTAATCCTTGCATGTAAGTACTTGTGCAGGACGGACGAATGGAAAAATAAGTAGGAAATACGTATAATGAGAGAGAAAAAGAGAAATATATTATAACGTGCACCGATCGTAGTATAAAATCTTTACAGTTAGGAATTTAATCCGATAAAAGGATATTCCCTTTCGATAACAATATTATTCATTTCATTTTTATTTTTATTTTATATATATATATATATGGATTCAACGAATCAGAGTTAATAACAAGTAAGAGAAGATATTAATGTCAACGAAATGTCATATATATTATTATAGAAAAGCTCTAAGAGTCTTAAATTTATCGAGCTTTTCGATAATAAAGTAGGAAAGAGATAAATAGAAGAAAAAATAGAGAGAGAGAAAGAGAGAGAAAGAGAGAGAGAGAGAGAGAGAGAGAGAGAGAGAAAGGAAAAGAAAGAAAGAGAAAAGGAGAAAATAATAAAAATGGACAGTTGCAGTTAAGGCACGCTAGACTGACCCTCGACAATCGTCGTTAGCTATATTTTGAGAGTCTCATTACGTTATTCCCGGATCGCGCTTTTCCCTTATTTCCCGCTTTTCCTCCGTTTTCTCTCCGTCGACGCCGTTCGTCGATGTCGACGTCGCCGTTCCCGTTGCCGTTGCCATTCCCGTTGCCGCCGTCGCTTTCATTGTGGGAGTCCGTCCATAAAACCCGACCCTTTCCTGTCTCCGTGTGCTCCCTCGTTACCGGAATACGAACACGGATCTCAGCAAAAAAGAAAGGAATAAGACTCATCAGATTTCGGAACTTCGAAAGAGAACTAAATCGAATCGTTCCGAGTGTATTCAGGATTGTTCAATATTGTCTTTTCCTTTTTTCTATTTCTTTTTTTTCTTTTTTCGAAAAAAAAAAAAAAAGAAAAAGAAAAAATTATCCACCCCATATGCAAACGTAAATGAGAGTAATTGTAAAAATTATATTGATGAAAGATCTAAAAAACAAAAACAAAAGATATATATATATATATATATATAGATATTATATAAAATTGATCTACAGGTTTACGTTATAACGACTTAAGAAGAATACGTAAACAGTAAAATATAAAATACAAATCAAAATCAAAATCTAAATTAAAATCTAAATGATATAAAATATCGAAAATTTTATTTAATAATAAATATAAATATATATATATATATATATATATATATATATATATATATAGATAGATAGATAGATAGATATATATAGACACGTACAATAATGGTTATATACATATATAAAGAAAAAGGGGAGGGGGGTGAGGAAGTCGGAAGATTCCCTCTCAGTGAAACGAGTCGAGCATTGGAGGATCGAGATGCAACGTCCCGGTCGAGACAGGGCATAATTTAACGCGGCCATTGGAGCCAAGGGGAGTGGGTGGTGGAGGGTACATAACTCGAGCCCGTTCATGGAGCTCGTTCTATTCGGGAGACTTGGCGCCCTCTCGCCCTCTCTCTGGTATCTCATCCTCCACCCTCTCTCTATCGTTCGAGCCATTCTCGCTTCTATCTTTTTTCCCCCATCCTCTTTACCTTTCTCTCTTTCTCTCTCTCTCTCTCTCTCTCTCTCTCTCTCTCTGTTTCTCTCTGTCTCTTTCTCGTAATATCGTACGGTCAGACTGAGCCGGACAATGCGTCGCATTCAATTCTACACCCAACCAGTATAGAAGTCCCGACCGACCGCAGCAACATCGTGGTGAGAGCAAAACGAAGAGAGGGAGAGAAAGAGAGATAAAAAGAAATTGAGAGAGAGAGAAAGAGGGAGAAGAGAGAGAGAGAGAGAGAGAGAGAGAGAGAGAGAGAGAGAGAGAGAGAGACTTTCCATGGGATACTCATGTGTCATTTAACTGAAATACCTCCGATGCGTCGAACTGATTTACAGCTGGGGAACTCCAACGTGTGTAAAAAAAAATACGTCCACACTTTCACCATGTTTGCCATGTTTGGAGCATCGTTGTAATACGCGAAAGGGTAAACGCAAGTCTTTTTTTCTCCTTTTTCTTTTTTTTTTTTTTTTTTTTTTTTTTTTTGAAAATTTTGTTTCTTCGTTCGAAATACGGATTTAATTTCGTCAAACCACACGTTAATTTAATTATTAACGTGTTTGAATATTACTTTAATTTCGATTTACAAACTGTTATTTGATCTAGATGATAAAATAATTAATGATAATTAATTAATAATTCGTCCAGATGAACGAAATATTTATACATAAGTATATATATATATATATGTAAATTATTATAAAAAAAAAAGTAATAATATTATTAATAGTATTTTGCTGACAAATTATCTTAAAGTCAATCAAAATAAGATTTTACATCATATTCATATTTGCTATATTCTAATAATAAATACGTATAGACGTATAAAATTTCTATTGCCATATAATTCAACAAATTTATATAAGTAAATTCGTACTCATTAAATGATTTTATATACCTACATATGTATAACACAAGTATAGCGTATTTACAATTACAGTATCTATTTAGGAGATTCAAGATTCTCGAAGTGAATGGATCGTGTATCCTGGTAAGAGAATATCCAGAAAGGAATTCGAAATCTCGAGCGTCTGTATACATCACATCAGATCGTTAATGGCGATGATCAAACATCGGTAAGCCGTATGCGTCTAGTCCTCTTGCACTTAGCATTAGAATCGATAACTACATC